TAGGTAGAAGGATAACCAAAATATCTCTTATTTCTATCAATTACCTGTGCCACAAAACTGTCTCAAATGTTTGTCTAAAATCTTGTTCAATATTGTTGAAAATATCCTGTGTAAGAAACGTATTTTTGGAATAGTCTGTGAAATATTCTCTAGTAAACTATTGGTGGAAGATTTTAAGTGGTGCTAGAAAAATTTCTCTGGGGCAATCAGTTCATTAAACATTGTTGTAAATTCATCGAGGAATCATAGGCTTCATTCTTTTCCATTACTTTCAGGGGGATATATCTACTATAACTTAAGAGAGACTTGTTTTATATGTGAGATTTTCATTACAGCACAGAAGTGACATGCTTATGAAAACTATTTTCTGGACCAAATACTGGGACAAATGGTCTTAAAATGGGGCAAACGACTTAAAACTAAGACTGTGCTAAAAATACGAAAGGCATAATTGCTCTAGTTATACAATCCATTGTCTTTTTCTTCAGCTGTGTATAAAGAGAGGAAAGAGGAACTCTAAGAAAAGGAAAATGCAATCTATGGGGAATTACTCCACAGGCTAGCTTTGAAAGAAAGGAGCAACAGGAATGACGCCTAAACTGAAATCCCTATGACAAAGGTTAAAAGTAAACTTTAAGAAAGTGGACATGACTGTATAATATTAGATTGGAAATAGTTTGGAAAGTGCTTATAGTGAGAAAGGTATAAATGATCATTTAGATTTAGGTTGCTTTCAAAATATCTTTTAAAGTAATGTATATTAATGTTTCAAATAAAAAGTTATACGTCTAAGTAAGGAAAAAAACCCCAAAATTGGGAATCAAGTTGTGTGGGCAGCAGGCTCTGCTCTAAGGTTTATCAGTGTCCACTGTGTGTTGCTCTATGTGTGTGTACATAGAGCAACACACAGTGGACACTGATAAACCTTTGTTGACTCATTGACTGCAAGCTGGAATCCTAAGAGTGAGGCGCCAATGGTGCAAGTTTGCGGCAAAATGAAACCAAAAGCTCATTTTAAAAGCTTCAACAGGCAAAAGTAAAATTGTGAAGTGACAATAAATGTCACGATCCATTATAAATCTGCGACAACCACAAATTTAACCAAGTCCTTCTCAAACCTCTTCTTTCAACTTTTGCTCCTTATGAGTATACTGTGGTCATTTCACAAATGCTTACTGCTCTCTCTTTTTGAAGGCAGGTGCTGCAAACTCCACTATCTTAAAGGTCCAAGCAAGTAATGAAAAGGAGGCAAGTGGGCTGAGTAGGGAACGCAGTAAACAGGAAGCACATATTCTGCGTCTAAGGGAGGCACCTATTGCTCAGCTCAAGTCAGTTATCATCCTGCAGAAATGTAAGTCTAGTGTAATACGACTTTCTCATTTTTTAGAAGCCAAAAATTAGTATTTTAATTCAAAACTTCCAATTTTTAAATGACAGCAACTAATTTTTAAAAATCAAGCACTATAGAGCAAACAAAATTTATTCATGGCCAGATATGGTATGTGGGCTCTTAGTATGGAAACTCCCTTCTAAGAAGGCTTCCTATAGTTTCAATGGTGCCCATTATTTGCAATTGTTTAAGATATGGTAAAAAGATTCATGTTCTATTTAGCTGCACTCTCCATGCTTTTGTAAACCTGGATGAAATTCCCAACTTTGAACTTCTCACTGGGCAGTCATAACTATTTTTAGTTAATTGAATTCTGTCCAGTAAAATTTGGACTTTACGAGTAAGTATGCTTAATCAGAGTAGAGAATTATACAGAATTATACACGTTTCTTTACTAATATGTTTTGGTTTGGTGCCATGTCAATTTTCTGTCCTATCAGTGGAAGATCTGAGGCAAATTGTTTATTTATGGTAGAGAAAAGTGCTACACAAGGCTCCAAATCAGCAACCATTACTAAGTTGTTTCCAAGTTACATCTTGTTTTTCGCATTATATAAATGACTTGTGACAGTCTGGTTCTCATGCTAGATGGATGCTAACTGTGACTTAATTCATCTCTGTACTCTTCACACCTGGCAAAATATGTGGAATGCAGAAGTTGCTCAACAGATATTTACTGTACTGAAATGAACTGACCTACAGTATCAAAACTCCTTAAGGTGGGCTCCCAAGGCCTTTCAACACATGACTTCAGCTTCACCTTTGGCTCATCTCCAAGGAGAATCTGGGTGATAACCAAACTGCTCTGGGAAACCAAGGTTTTACCAGGGTACCTTGAAATACATCGCAACATCTGTTCTTCCTATATCTATGAAAATCTACTGATTGTCAAAAATCCAATTTTAATCTGGCTTTCATTGGGAACCCCATTCTACTATGGTGAATTTGTTCGATAGCCAAAAAATCATAAACCATTACTCATGCTCACAAGAAACATCAGGACAATCCAATTCATTTGTTTCTACAGTAAATTAAAAAAGATTAAGCCTCAGAAAGTGTTGCTGGCCTCAATCAGTTTATAAGGACCTTGTGCTTCTCCAAATTATGCTCAAAGGGGCATACATTAAGCATCACAAACTCAGAGGCCTGCATAGGGCAGACAGGTAACGTAAATGGTCTGAACAATATAACAAAATCGGGAGCTGAATGCCTATGGCAATGAGAAATTCAAATAACCCAGCTTTTCCCTTCATGAAGCAAAGCATGGCCAGAGTCGCCAGTCTTTCCTGTTTTTAACGGGCCAAATTGTGGTAGCCAAATGAAACAGGTCTGTGGGCTGCCAGTTTTGACCTTGTGTAGAACACACCATTCTCCTAGAGTTTAGAGACTGTTTCCAAATAAAAACAGCAGGAGGGCATGCATGAAAAAAAACCTGGAAGTCACTAGATACACAAACTGTAGACCGAATAGGATCTATTAAACTGCATTAGACGAGTATTTTGTGATTCCTTGCCAAAACCCTAATGTCTAAGCACCAGAACACCTCAAGGAGAGCAATAGCTTTCCTTTGGAAAGGCTCATTTGTGGGACGTCACACAGAGATTGAAGTCTTAATCACAGTGGTTGCATCTTAAATGCATTTGTTTGAATTAGAGATGGTTTGGGTTTTCTAGAAAGAATGGAAGCCAGAAAGCTGCAATGCATTTTGACCAAACTATATTGGTCTAGAAACACATCACTCTTTCTTAATAGAAACAAACACATATTCACATAGTTTGAAACTTCCCAGCGGGATCGAAATAAAAGAGTACTAAAGTGAATTTTGATAATTAATATTACCAAGCTAAATTTTTTTTCTTTTTGTCTCACATTTCTTACTTTTGAGAATTGTTTTTCTTTAGATTACATATTTCTGTTGGGGCTGTCAATCACAGGGCTCTATGAGTGGTCAACATCTAGGCTGACCAATGAAAGAATCCCAATTCCTGGATGTAATGATTGGTCCGGAAGTATTGCATGACTTAAGTCAGGCCAATGAAGGATCCTATTTCAGAGATAACGATGCTGGAATGGGGTGAGATGGCAAGTGGTAGGGACCATGTAGTTCTGGCTCCTCTAGTAAGGGTGGTGGTGGTGGCTCATACCAGCACACATGAAGATATCATTTCAAAGTGATAAAAAGCGATTCCTGATAATATCATCTGAACACAGATGTAATCATGGCTGAGGCTGCTACAAACTTGATCAATAAGTAAACTTTCTAACTTGAGTAAGTTTGATTTGGGTTCCTATAAATTACAACTGAGAGCCATGACTAATGTAAGAAGCATTTGTAGTTCATATTTTTATTTAAGGAGAATGTGGATCCAATTAAATTAATTTCAGAAACAGGCAGCTGAACTGTACAAACACTTCAAATTTTGTGTTCTATCCATTTAAATCCACCAATGTTAGCAAATAAACATTTTCCTACTCACATTCAAGCATTATTTTAAAATGAGTTTTGTATTAATTATATCAGTAATGCCATGCTCAGTCCCAAAATTCTACGGAATACAAAAAAACATAAAAAAGTGCTAATTTCAAAATTATGACTAAATTAACATGTCAGTCAAAAGTTTTATTCCACACATTATTGTATATTCTTGGACACATGTTGAATTTGGTAGTCTATGGGAATTATTTTTAGTGTGAATTAAAAATTTAAGAATAAAAGGTGTATTTCCATGTGTATGCAGTGAATCCCTGGTATTCATCTGTGGTAGAATACAGAATGTGCCTATTTACCCTCAACAAAGTATTTTAGGAACCCTAGTTTAGCTGAAAATGCTTGATGAAGAGATTGCATTTAGAATGTTAAATATGCCTTGGTCATGTGAAAATGTCTCCCAGCTGACATCAGAATTCAGATTACTCATGGGGCAGAAAGCATGCTTACCTCTTCATTCTCGATTTTAAGCGTAGCCAGTCGAGACTGCAGCTGCTGGTACCTGAGCATGAGCTCCGCCTGGACTGGCTGTTGAGCACTGACCTGACATACCTGATGGGGAATGAGAAGTCTCAGTTACAACAGGACACCATCAAGCCAGCCTCAAGAGGCATAGTTCTCCTACTTAGATGCTGCATGAATCACACTGATCCCCTCAAGATTCCAATTACATATTTACTTTTAACAGTCGCCTCAAAACTTCAGTTTTAAATACGGACGAGTTACGTAAGTGGCAAGAGCAGAATGCAGCTGCCTGGCCTGGATGTGACTGGGAAGAGAGCAGCTGCAGGAAGCATCGCTCTAAGAAAGGGGCAGTTGCTGGAGATGGAGCTCTGATACTGACGTCTCACTCGTGGAATTCTTATTGACTACTGGGCAGAGGAAAGAG